GGCCTTTAATTCATATTGGCGAACGATGCTTCCCGAGCTACCGGGATACTGTAGGTTCAACATGTACATTTACAGAAATGTACTAAAATGAATTCACGAAGTGCGCAGCAAATAAGATGAGTAGCCTATAGGCCCATGTCCATAGTCCAGGGCAACGGAGGGGGTTACCCTGGGGCCGTGTTACCCCTCCTGCTGGGTAGGAACTTACAAGGGGGTTACCTATGGGCTACGGGGGGTTGAAGGTGGGTAACCGATGGGTAACCCATGGGTTACCCACCCAATCAGTGCCTTAGGGCCGTGTTGGCTCGGTCCTGTTGACCATGGCGGCTTCCAGGCCCAGGTGGCCGGCTTCAGGCTGGACCTGTCCTTCCTCCGTCCGAGTTTCCCTCTTCATGCATGTACCCAACAACGACAGAGAGGCATCAAACAGGTTGATGGCTCTGGTGGCCCCGTCCCCTGCGGCGCAGGTCGCCCCTGAGTATCCTGTTCGGTTTTTTCTGTCATCCCAGGAGGGGCGGCTTCCCACCGTTTCGTAGCCTCAGTCGCCATGAGCCCCGGCCTCTACTCATCTCCCCCTCTTTTATCTTTTGTCTCTTGCAATGCAGAGAATTTGGCCGCCACAGTACTGGGCACACTGCTCGTCGCCGCGGGTTTTAGAGCCCCTCGCCCCGCGCAGCCCCCCCCTGCCCAACGAGACAACACACAAGTGGAGACCAAGAACACCGCCAAGCGTCCCGCACCCGGCCCTGCAGAGCCCACCCGGCCCCGGACCAAGGTCGCCCGCCAAGCCCAGGAACCACATCCAGACCCAGGAGCCCCTTCGAGGAATGAACAAGCGGTCCCAGAAGGTGAGAACCCAGCACCTTTGCCTGTTGATCCGCCTTGTGAAGCCACACCTCCTAGCATGGGTAGCAAGGATAGGCCTAAGATGCGGGGGCGCTTGAGAGCCTGTGCCGCGGTCTGGAAGGTGACAGTGGTGAACCAGCTCGTGCTGAGCTGGGTCCTGCAAGGGTTCCCTCTGATGTGGCACTCAGGACCTCCCCCCCGGCCGTACTGGGGCAAGAATCACCAATCTGCACGGGACCACGGGGATTTTGTGTCTTCTGCCATCGAGGGTTTGCTGGAGTCAGAGACCATCAAACCTTGCCAGTCCCGCCCTTTCATGACCTGTCCTTTGGGCGTCGTAGAGCAGAAAGGCAAGCTCCGCCTCATCTGGGATGGACGCGAAGTCAATAAGCACCTGCACATCCCGGAGTTCCGTTATGAGTCGCTTGCGCAGGTCCTAGGCTGGCTAGGCCCCAAGGACTACATGTTCACCCTGGACCTGAAGTCTGGCTACCACCATATGGACGTACGCGAAGCAGACTGGCGCTACCTTGGTTTTGAATGGCAAGGCCAGTTCTACGTCTTTACACAACTCCCTTTCGGCCTTGCCTCCGCCTGTTGGGCATTCACCAAGCTAACACGCGAGATCATGCGGACTTGGAGACGGAAGGGCTGGCGGTGCTCAGGATACATTGATGATCAGATCCACGCCCACCAGGACGCCCAGACCCTCATCGCCCACCGCACCATAATCCTCGACCTCCTTGAGCGCCTGGGGTTCTGCGTGAACCGTGACAAGTCAATGATGGGCGAGCCCCAGCAGCAAGTGAGGTACCTGGGTATGCTGTTAGATACAGCTAAGGGCGTGTACATTGTGCCTGAAGATAAGCGCACTTTCCTGCTCGACTGCATCCGCTCGGCTCTGGGAAAACGGCGCATCAAGGCGAGACAATTGGCCTCCATAAAAGGGCAGCTTCTGTCCATGTCCTGGGCGTTCGGGCAAGTAGCCCGCCTTTACACCCGGGCTCTGGGGCAGGATCTTGAGTCGCGCCACACCTGGGATACCCACATCCGCTTATCTAACGACGCAACTGCAGAGCTCGAATTCTGGCTGCGCTGTTTCGACCGGTTTAACGGAACCCGTGCCCTCTGGGAGCCCACACAGGTGCACTCGGTCGTTTTCTGCGATGCAGCCGGGAAATCCCCCAAGCACCTCGGGGGTTGGGGTGCCTGGACGCTGATCGACGGGAAGTTGGCCCAAGCCCGCGGTAATTGGGGAGTAAGGGTCAGTTCGATGGGGTCAACGCCCCAGGAGCTCCAGGCAGTCCTACACGCACTTCAATCCTTCAACGGTCCTGCAGGCCTACGACACCAAGTCGTCCGGGTGATTACTGACAATCTCAATTGCGCCAACGTCCTCAACAAGGGGTCCGCAAAAGCCGAGGACTCGTACCGGATTGCCTGCGAAATCTTTTGGTACTGTATTGCCGAGGGTATCACACTGCAGGCGGAGTGGCGGCCGCGAGAAGAAAACACTCTGGCGGACTACCTCTCAAAGCTGCAGGACCGGGACGACTGGATGGTGAACCGTAAGGAATTTCAGAGGCTCAACACCGCCTGGGGCCCCTTTGACATTGATCTTTTCGCGTCACACACCAATCACCAGCTGCCACAATACTATTCCCGCTTTTTCACGCCAGATACCGCGGGTGTAGATGCCTTTCGGTTTCACTGGGGGCGGAATTGCTGGGCGAACCCGCCTTTCTGTTTGCTACTTAAGGTCCTGCGGCACGCAGAGCTGTGCAAAGCACGCATCTGT